GCGAGAGTGATAGATATATATATAGAGAGGACGGACAGAGAGACAATAAACAAAAAATAGCTGCAGAGGTATACGGATAAACAAATAGATGGATAGGTAGACTAGATATACTAATATCTTTAAAGAAAGGAGCTCCAGGCAAACACACACACATACACATACACACGCACAGATAGATACAATCACACATATAAAACACACACCCACGCAAAGTCAATCACACATACACACAAATACACAAATTCATACAATTATAAATATAAAAATACAGACACACACACACACACAAACAAAACATACAAACAAGCACACACACGTGCACAACACACACACACACACACAAACAAACAACAAACAAGCAAACACACACACACACACACACACACACACACACAAACACAACACACACAACACACACACACACACACACACACCACACACACACAAACACAACACACAAACAAACATACAGACAAACACCTACCTCGGGATGTAGAGGATCCTCTCAGCGACAACAAAACCGACGGTGAAGAAAAGATTCGTTGCGGGCAAGAAGGGCACGATGAGCAGGACCAAGCCAAGGAGGATGCCGTTGCCTTCTCGACCCTATTTGGGGGGGAAGGGGGGAGGGGAGGGGAAAGGGAAAGGAGGGAGGGGGAGGGAAGAGTGGGAGGGAAGGGAGAGGGGTGGGAGGGGGTGGGAAGGGAAAGGGGGAAGGTGGGAAGGGAAAGGGGAGGGGGAAGGAAGGGGGGGAAGGGGGGGGGAAGGGGGAGGGGGAAGGAAGGGGGAGGGAAGGGGGGGAAGGGACAAGGGGGAAGGGAAAGGGGAGGAGGGAAAGGGGGAGGGGGAAGGAAAGGGGGAGGGGGAAGGGGGGAGGGGAGGAAAGGGGGAAGGGGTGGAGGGAAAGGGAGGGGGGGAGGGAGGGGGGGAGGAAAGGGGTGTAGGGGGAAGGGGGAAGGGGAGGGGGTGAGAGGGGAAGGGGAAGGAAAAGGGGGGGAAGGGAAAAGGGGAAAGGAAAGGGGGGAGGAGAGGGGGGTGGAGGGGAAAGGGGGGGAAGGGAGGTGAAAAGGGAAAGGGGGGGAAGGGAAAGGGGAGGGTGGAGGGAAAGGGGGGAAGGGAAAGGGAAGGGAAAGGGGGGGAGGGGTAGGGAAAGGAGTGGATAAGGAGTGGATAAAGAGAGAGAGAAAAAAACAGGTTTGGTTTATAATTGATTGATGTTGGAGAGGGAAGGGGAGGGGGGGGGAGTGGATAAGGAGAGAAAGAGAAAAAAAATGACCTTTAGTTTCTTTTGACTGATGTTGATAGATATACAGGTTATATAATTGATATTGATAGAGATGGGACGATTAGGTGATAGATATAAGTTATCAAAGATATGGGATAATTACCGTTTGATTAATGATATGAATTTATTTGATAATGAAGCGAATCAGAGATGATCAATATTATAATCACTATGCCAATGAAATAAGGAAGAAGGAAAATAACAATGAAATATGAAAGAAGGCAAAGAACAAACGACATATTTGATAATATTGATAAAGAAAAGAGTTGGATAAGTGAAAAGAGGGAGGGAGGATAGAAGCAAGGATTGGTTACACACATATGGTGATCAGGCTTAATGACGATAATTATATCAAGAGAGAAAATTGGCCTTGTAATTAAATGTGGTGCCTTGGACAACAACAAATATCTCTTCATTATCATGTGTATAGAAGATAGAAATTGGTTGATGAATGTCATAATGAGTAATATTGATGATAAAATGAGGAGGAGGAAGATAATGATAATGGAATTGATTTGATAATAATAATGACAAAGATCATAATAATGATAGTAATAATAATAATAATAATAATAATAATAATAATAATAATAACAATAATAATAATAATAAATTAATGATAATATAATTAATAATAATGATTGATAATAAAGCATAATAATAATAATAATGACTAATGAAAAACAACAACAACATCAACAACAATAATAATAGATGATAATGACAACAAAAATGATGATTATAATAGTATCAAATAATAGCGCAGATCAATCTCGGGGCGAGTCGACGAATGCCGCGGGTATGGAGGAAGTGGTAAGCCGTCGTGTAATGATGGTGGGGGGTGGTGAGGGTGGGGCAGGAGCACGCTGAGTGAGGGTATGGCGGGAGGAGGGCCAGAGGAACCATGCGCCAGTTCTCTGTGTGTAAGAGGAGATTTTCCTGGGAGGGGAGTCTGGGCTCTTCGTATGCGGCTCAGGGCTCACGGGTTGTTCCGTCAGTTGATAAACCTGGCTACAGCCTGGATCCCCTGCGGGGGACGATGCTCATCGATAATTGGGGGAGCGGGGAGCAGCATTTCTGGTAAGTATCACTCGGATATGCGATAGATAGTCACCTGATCTCTAATAGGGAGTACCGATCTGCGCATCCGTTTTTTGAGGAGTGTCGCCCTACCACATTCCGCTTGTCTCTCCATACTGATATCAGCGTTATTCCGTGCACAGATTACTATGCGCTCTTGCTTCTTTATTATACTTCGCGTGGGTAACACGAGAGTGATCGACTCGCTGGCTAATGTTGCCTTTTAGCAACACTTCCCCGCCTGCTACTCTCTTTCTTGTTGACTATACCTTACCGCTGCCTCGCCCTGGTCATGTTCACTAAATGCGTGACAGGCTAAAGAATATGGTGTATTCATGTTATTCTTATGTACCTGGTAGGGTCCTTCAGTCAGTCATGCGTCCTGCACCTCATGTTCAACTTGCTGGTCCGTGAAGATGTCATAGTACGCGTGATTGCATTGTCACAGCTATGTGCATTAGCGTCGTCAGCAGTTATTTTCTGCACATAGCGAGCGACTGACGCCGTCATCGTCTGTCGACGCCGTTCTCGTCTGTTCCCAACCTGTGAATTGACATCTGGGGGAGCGTGCGCCTCTTCGCGGAGCGTATATATAGTGACATCCGGTGGCCTTGTGGCTGCTTGGCGTTGACTTCTCTGACATCCAGCCATTCGATGTTCTATATCGTACGGGCTTCTTTCAACGCTTGTCTGTTATCGCGACGCTTTCGATGCTCCGGTGTGCGTGTTATTTGTTCTATATAATTATACAGTGATTTACTCACATGCTTAAGATTCACCTTCCATGCATCTAAAGTGATATGAAGAGTAATGTCCGTTGGGCAGATGCGTGCCCTTGATAGACAATGCCGTTGGCCTGATCCTGGAGATGATTACCGTTATCGCCACATGACTAGCCCGTGGTGTAATCTAGCGAACGACTATTCACCTTATCACGTCACTACTACATCTGCCTCTACAAATCCCCTGGTGGTGTGCCTATTACTCTCTGTCATCTGCAAACCCCTCTGCCTGGGGGCTGGAGCAGGAAAAAAAGGAGAGAGAAGTACCTTACTCGTCCCCTCTCGGCAGCTCGCCTCTCACCTACTTCCTCTCTCTCCTCTACTCTTCTCTCTCTCCTCTCTCTCTCTTCTCCCGACTCCCTCTACTCTCGTCTGTCTCTCTCTCTCGTCTCGTCTCTCACTGACTTCTTCAGTTCTTGCACACTACATCATTCCTCTCTCTAACTCTGCTTTCGCCTCTGTTATTTCTGTCTATCTCTCTCGTCTCTCTCTCTCGTTGTTCTTTTTCTCTTTTCATGGGTGCAGGAGACGTCGTCTTGTGTGAAATATGCAGGGCTGATCGGTTTCGCGCTTTCAGTACATTCCGTGACGAGAGAGTGAGTGAGTGACATAAGCCCAGACATGACTGCATAGAGTGTGGCGTATACAGTATACAATCCGAGCACTGTGCAAGCTTGTATAGGGTCTGAGAGTAAGCTCAGTGTATATACAGACGTGAGCAAGAGTCGAGTGAGAGTAATACTAGGCTCTAATCTCGGAGAGCTCCATACAGTACATATAATGAGATGAGATCGAGTGAGAGGAGAGTCAAAATGACATAACGATTTCGCACATGAACTAGTAACAACTGATATACAAATAGACATCTAAATGCATGTATATATTGAATAATAATCAAGAAGACAAGGATAAACGGCGACTGACGAAAGATGCAGACCTGATGAGACAATGATTCATGAAAATGATAATTATATGATTATATTTAACTAACAACGGCCCTAAATGATCACATCATCACATCCGAGGAGAGTGGGAGATAGATGGAGAATGAAAATATTCACAATCAAATAGACCCACCCACCCCAACCCCCCACCTCCCACACATATCACACGCACACATCACACAGTCACCATTTCCATTACCACATCCATCCCATCTACAACACACGAACCACGTCACAACTTGCACCTAACACTACACCATCCCACCGAATGATCAAATGACCAGTGCGAACAAAGAGAGAGCCTAACATACGATCTAGATCTTATGACAAACGACAAAGACACGTGATACGAAGAACACAATGAAAGACGAGACAGAGCGAGCAACACAAACACACACGTACCAATATGAGTTGATACCAGGAAATTGGTGACAGGAAATAATATGATATGCATAACATTGAACGTGCGTCAAGATAGTCAATCTGTGACAACAGTATATAAATTCAGCTATATAATGATATAATTGTGTGCGTGTACATGTCGTGTGTGATTTGAGTGCTTCATAATTCAACGGTATTAAGTAACTAAGACTCATGTATTTGCGTCCTTTGTAGTATACATCCCCATCTTTCATTCTGTGATGAGCCTAGTGTTTGTACTTATGAGTGTGTGCTGATAATTCGTGATGAGTCAGTACTGTGTGTTGTGTGTGTGAGTGTTGTGTGATGTGGTGAGTCGATGTATAATGTGTGTGTATTTTGTATAGTGCAATTTATGATGTTGAGCACTGTAAGTAGTCAACAATCTATATATGTTACCAGATATACGAAAATTGTTCTATGATCAAAACTTTCACAAAATAAAATGGATGATGAGTGTGTGTGTGGTGTGAGTGTGTGAAGAAAAGCAATGCATCTGTGGTGTGTGTGTGTGTGTTTGTGTGTCGTGTGTTGTGCTGTCACGTGCTGTGCTTGCGTGGTGCGCTGTTTGTGCTGTTGGTGAGTTTGTGTGTGTGTGTGTGATGTGCAGGTCGTGTTGTAAGATATATGTAAGAGTATGTAGGCCGAAGTGTCTGAGAGGCTGTACAGTCCCTCAAGTGTGCGATGAGACACCCCCAAGAAGCGCAAAGCAGCCGCTCACTGTTACACTTTTACGTGTTGGCATCATTAAATACACGAAGAACCGTAAGCCCACCAAGAAGACCACAGATTTTACAACCCCCTTACCCCCTCGCACTCCATTCTCTTCTTTTTTTTTCCTTTTTTTTTCATCTAAGTTCCCTCTTCTTCACTCTCATCTCTTCTTCTCTTCCCCAGCACAACAGATTTCCCCCACACTTGATCAGAGACCATCTAGTTTCCGTATATCTGAAATCATTATATGTTTGGTGATCTTATGTAACTCTCTTCTCTCCCTTAACCAACATATCACCCAACGCACACTTATCTGCCCATCTGACTCCTTCTCCACCACACAATCTCCCCGCACCTTTCTCTTCGTTCCCCCCATACCTACATAGCCCCGATCACCGCTCTCTCCGTCTCTTCCACCGCTCCCTACAGCGCTCCACCTCGGCACAAGTCCCCCCCACACTCTATCTCTCTCCCCCTATCGACAAGCCCTCACAATCGCCAGCCACCCTCTCTCTTCCCCTCTACGCCCCCCTCCCCTCCACAACCCCTCACCACCCCATCACTCTCCCAACTACAACCCCCCACAGCCTCTGCATAAGCTCTCTCTTATCCTATCAAGCCCCCTCACGCCCCCGCTCATACTCTTCCCTCTACCACTGCCACACACCAAAGCCCCCCCCCACCCAAATAATGATTTTCTCCACCTATCTATCTCCCCTCATCTACATCTACCGCCACCCCCCCTCATCCCCTCACCCAACACCTCTCTCCCCCTACCACAATCCTCAGGACCCCACTCATTCCCCACCTACTAAGCCCCCATCACGCCCTTACTTCATCATCTCTCCCCTCCACGCTCCCAAACCCTACCCACCACACCCCCTCACCCTCTTCTCCCCACCACTAACCTCCCTCACACCCCACCCTCCTCCTCCACTAATCACTCTCATCAACCCCCTTCACACACCTCACTATCAATCTCCCTCACGTCTCCCACCCCTCTCTCCAAATTCATTAACCCCACAACCCCACCCTCGCCCACCACAAGACCCCCCACACCTCCTCTCTCCGCCAACTACCCCTCCCACGCTCCACAAACCTCCCCTCACCCCTCTCTCTCCCCACCACAAGCTCTCCATCTTCACTACCCCCTTCCACGTCCCACCATCATGACTCACATTCTCCATCTGTCGAGCCCACCACAATCCCTCACACCTCCGCTCACTCCCCCCCTCTCCCTCCCCTCCCCCACAAGCCCCCCTCACCCCTACCCCCCCCCAAAAGCCAGGTGTTAAACAAGCATATAAACAGGATTTGCCCAGCAAACACTTTTTTTTGCTGAACTGCCAGTCATTTGGCGTTAACCGGGTCTTGGGAATATGCAAATGGGAGGAGAGAGCTTGCGAGGCGAGAGGCAACTGCGCCCCCCCCCCTCTCGTCCTGTGGAAGGTTGGGAACGCTCACTTGTTTTAGGGAAATGGGGGGAAGGGAAAATGGGGGGGGGGGGGAAAGAAAGGGAGAGAGAGAAGGAGAAGGGAGGAAAGGAAAGAAGGGGAGAAAGGAGATAGAAGAAGGAGAGGAGAAGGAAAGCTGGGAACGCACACTTGTTTTGGGGGGAAAGTGTTAAGGGAAGGGAAAAGTGGGGGAAGGAAAGGAGGGAGAGAGAAGGAGATAGAAGGAGATAGAAGAAGGATGGAAAGGAAAGAAGGGAGAGAGGAGCTAGAAGAAAGAAATGAGAAAGAAGGCTGGGAACGCACACTTGTTTTGGGGGGAGAGTGGCAAGGGAAGGGAAAAGGGAGGAAAGGGAAGAAGGGAGAGAGAGAAGGAGAGAGAAGAAAGAATGGATAAGGAATGGAAGGAAAGAAGGAAGGGAGAAGGAGATAGAAGGAAAGGAGAAGGTGGGAAAGAGTAGAAGGGGAGAGAGAATGAGATAGAAGAAGGAAAGAAAGGAACGAAGGGAGACAGAAGGAGAGAGAAGAAGGAAAGGAGAAGGAATGAAAGGTGGGTAAAAGAAAGATATGGCAGGTCTTTGTGGATGACGATACCTACTATAGATAGATAGATAGTGATATTATTTCATTATGGATCTGTCTATCTATCCATCTATTAGTCTATCTATCAGTCTATGAATCCATCCCTCCATCTATCTATCTATCTGTCTACCTATCTATCTATCTATGAATCCCTCCCTCCTTCTATCTATCTATCTATCTACCTATCTATCCATCTATCTATCTACCTATCTATCTATCTATCCATCCATCTACCTATCTATCCATCCATCCATACACAACTACACTCCTCAGCTTACCTTAATGAGCAAACCCGCCCTGAGAGTGAGGGCAAGAGTGCCATATAGTATGACCGACGCCAGGTTCCTCAGGTCAAAGGGCGAGGTCACGAGGGCCAGTGACCCCATCTGCCAGTCGTGAGAGAGAGTCCAAGGGCACAGCAGAAGCCACGCGTTGAAGACCGGCAGGCGTACAAAGAGTCAGCAATCTGTAGAAGGGAAAGAGGAAAGCAAGGTGTAGAGATGTAGTTAGTCAGTGGTTTTGATGTGGTATTGTTTACTGAAATTATGGAGGTCGTGATTGATATATTTTTTTCTATTTTATATATTCATCTACTTATCTATTTAGAGTCATATTTTTTACTTGTTTATTTATTTACTTTTTGTGAAATGTTTAGTTGTGTGTTTTTATCGATTATAGTATGTAGTTGTTGTAAGTGTGTAGTGTAGTGGTAGTATGTGTTGTTGTTAGTTGGGGTAGTGTGATGTGGCTGTTGTTGGTTGAGTATTGTGGTTGTTTTAGTGGGTTAGTTAGTTGTGGTGTTTGTGGTAGGTATGTAGGTTGTTGTTGTGTTGGTAGTATGTTGTGGGTGGTAGATGTGCGTTGTTG